TATACATATTGTTCATTTCTAATGATATCATCTGTTCTTTAATTGAAATGTGCATTGCTAACAGCGGAGCTATTTCAGCCGACAGGCTGAATGTGTTCATTTCTGACTGCTTGCCAATCTTTCAAGTGCCAATCTTTCAGCAATTGAAAGTTTAGTAGTGTCGTAACTACACACACGTGTAGTGAATAACTTCTATGCGCAAATTGTGAAAACATTTTCAAGATTTTTCAGTACCGATACTTCAAAACACAGTGTTGATTTGAATTCAGTTTAGTGCTTAAAGTGCGGCGGTTGTCGCGCAGCGCGTGTTCGAATTTCATGTAAATAAACAATGTATTTTACACGCGAACACGAACAGGACGCGACGACTGCTTCCCTTAAGCTTAGCTTGTTAATTGCCGTTTTCACAGCTTTCTGAAAAATAAAATGGCTGCTGAATATTTCACATAGCAACATATGCAACTGTCTACTTCATCGTTGTAATCTTTATTCATTCGATTCAATAATAAATTGTGAATTCTTAAAACATGCATGAAAACTTATACTTACAGTATATTCATTATGCCATTATTCTCTGTTCAGCATTGTTTATCCTCAGTTGGTTTCATTCACCTGAAATCCGGTGCTAAAAAATGTTTAATTTTAATATAGTAACGTTCATCATTAAATTAAATTTTATTAAAATTTTTCTGTACTTTTCACCCTTGCGATATACAATCAAAAACATTGATTATAAACATATATGTAAACGTTCAATTAAATGTGGTGTATCTGCTCTGACATGTACTGTAATATACTATTTTTGCTGAGAGATTATTCAGTGAAAAATAAAATAAAATGAATATTTTTTTCTATATTTTACATTCAACTCGTCAAAAATCAGTGAAAACGAACTCTCTACAAAACACAAAAATGTCTTTTCGGTGAAAATAAAGAATTTTACAGTATGCACACATTATATGCTAGGGGGCCTTCATCATTAAAAAATCTGTGCTAGGTGGACAGGGTCATACAATCTTGGGTAGCCTTATTAACAATACACAGCTAGGTGTTCCTACGTGTAGGATTAAAAGCACTCTGTGTGAAAATGTGTAGTTGGCGGTAATTTACGTGCTTTTTGAAAACAGGCTTTAACTGACGAAAGATGTAAATTAAAACTTGTTAATGCCTTCCTTTGTATTTGATGAATTTCTACACTTTGTAAATATTTGTACCGTGAAATAAACCCAAAAATTGATATCTTTAAACTTTGGTATGTGTTGTATATTTATCACTGTTCCAGCTAAGCCGTAGTCAACACTGAAAACACAGCATGGTAAATAGATACTATGTTGAATGAAAGTAAACATGTACTACTACATCACTCGGACCAATGCTCGTTTTCGGCACCAAACCGCCTAGCTTCATGCCACGGCATTTCTTCAAGTTTGCTAATGAACTTTAGTATCACAGGTCGTTCATAGAATGTTTCCTGATATTTGCTGTATTTTACTTTTCGATCATATGCAGCTGATACAATGTAGTTCACCCCATAAGTAATTTGATTGGTTTTTGCTTACAATGTGAAGTTGACATATTGGTGTTATGGCATTGGTTGAATTAAAGCGGGAGGGGTGTAACCTGCATCACGCTTGTTTGTAAACATTGACTAAAGTTTTAGCGTTATGACATTAGATTGGGTGAATTGTTTTAAATTTACATTTCTATCCATCGCCCCCACAGTTTGACATTGCACACTCTGATAGATTTTGTTTCCCTAATCTACAGATTGTTAATTGCATGTGCAAGTATAGAGTATTTCTTTGAATATTTAAGTATATTGATGTATCTATAAATATAATTAGATTCTGTAATCTCGGAAAGATATTTCGTATTCAAGAAACCGTGATCTCGTACGCAAATGAGATGTGACATGTTAGGTTTGTTATTGGATCTCTTATTAAAATAGAAGTTTTGTTTCAAAATGTCAAAATTATTGATTTGGGCACAAGTCACCAACTTATTTTTTACATCAGAAAAAATGAAACTATTTCCATAGAAATCCTTGTCCTGCCATAATAATTTGTGACAACCAGGAGTAATCTTATAACATGTGATACTTATTAATATAGGTATTCAAACAAAATTTTGTCTTAATTATGGTACGCAAGACCTTTTAACCATATTCATTTTCACATATGTTTTGAAAAATGTTCAGTGACCATATTAAAATTTAACAGAATGTTAAATTCAAAAAAATCTGATGATGTTAGCCGTACATTACATACAAACACGCACATTACGATTAAATAATTCAGTCTAATTGGGGTTTTGAGATTACGATGTGAAATATTTAATCGTCTGATTTAGTGTTAGTTTTGGAGAAAATATATCATTTGCAATAATTTTTCAAAAGTTTTGGCTTTTCATCATTATAAATAGTGATCCAATAGATACAGATTTACAAAGATTCACCCACCGAGTTATTGTGGAGTGTTATAATTCAAAACAAAGATGTAAATCCTCACAAGTACCTGCAATACATGTACATTAATAAAACTATGAAAATATATCCCATTATAGTCCCAATGTTAGTTATAACTAGGAGCAGGTAGTAGATCTTCAAATTTTTCAGATCAGGGTTTGCCCACAGCACCCTCTACCAATTCAAGTTCTCTCCCGGCCCACCCACTCCCTATATTTAGGGGGGTCTATGCTTGTTCCCTCATTTTTTTTTACCCCCCCCCTCCATCTAGGGAAAAGAAGAAAATTTAACCCCCCCCCCCTTTCACGGGCTTTTCCGATGAATTTCACCCCCTATGTTTTGAAATACACCCCCTATTTTGAGAATCTCGGGAAAACAAGCAAAAAATACCCCCTTTTCTACGATTTTCTCGGGAAAATGTTCCCGAGACAGATCGTCAAAAAGTACCCCCTTTCCCGAGAAAATGGGAACGCGCATGCGGCCCCCTATGGATCCTGAGTGGGGGGGCCGGGAGTTCTCTATGCACATATCAAATATACACAAAATATTATAATCATGCTAACCATATCATACTCCATAAATATGCATGTTTAAAAAGTGAAGAGAAAAAGTGGTTGGTCTATTTTATTATTTTTATAATGTTATTTTGATTTTTCTTAAAATACTGACAAAAAAAAGCCTATATGTCCGCATGCAATGAGAGAACAATAATATTATTGAGCCTAACCCTGGTATGCAGATGATGCACTATGCATCTGGTGACCAACTGAATATATTTACCACCTCATCATGGGAAAGTTGCGAGACCAAGGAACATAGAATTTTAATTAGTTCATTGCGCATACCTATCACTACCAGATAGTAACAAATCTCGAATAGAATCAGCTAAAACAAGGATGTATAAGATAAGGGCATGCAACCAGTGTGATATACGATGAAGGTCTCATTTGAAGTCTCACAAATTGCGAGATGATTGATGAGTCTGTTAGAGAGTATTCAGCTCAAGCTGTATAGTGTTCTTGTACATATGCAAGGTTTATATGTTTTTGAATAATACACTCATTACTTTTTCTCACAGTCAAATATTTTCAAGCGTTCACTTGATTCAGTAATGCTTTACGTTTGATCTACATGTGCTTAGAACTCACAAATGAATTCAGCATCACTGCATATCTCAGTTGCATGCCATTATAAATGTTCTTCCATTGAGCCCCTAATTTTTTTTTTTTTTTTATTATTAAAGCTCAAATATTACAAGCATTGTAATCTTACCAAATATAAGTTATTTAAAATGCATTTGAAAATATATTATTATACAAAATAATTCAAAATAAATTGTTTTATTGCTGTGGATATCCGTGTAAAAATACTTCTCTAATTGAATAAACTTTACATTACAGTATATAAAAATACCTCTGATATTCTGATAGAATATTGTTAAGGGATTACAGTGAAATCTGAAATTCCTGTTCTTGTGTTGCAATATGCTTATATCAATGTTGAATGTACTATACTTCTTACATCCGTTTAATGCTCTTTACCCCCAAGGTAAAAAACGTAATACCGTACTGTAAAAAAAAAAAATTATTTTCACTGGCATTTAATTTTTATGTTTTGAGCAATTTTCACTGGGTTAAGTTCACAAACTTGGCAGGAAAACAATGAGTTCTATTGTTATTTCACATGTTCCCATTTTAGCGGACTTTACAGTGAAAACCATAGAATAATTAATGCACTTACAGTACATTGGACAAATGAGCATCGGTATAAGCTTATAAACAGTGTGAATGAAGACTGCATGACAATTGTGAGCATAAAAAAAATGTCAGCATGTCCAAACCTAAATACGGGTACACACAACAGTGTTGTCATGGTTACTGCAACAGAATAATAGAAAACTTGTGAAATACTAGTACCGGTAAGTCATTATTTTATAATGACATAACAATGGTTCCCATATATATTTGACAAATGAAATTTGAGAACAAAAAATAATTTGGTATGTAGATGCATACATTGCTTTTGTATAAAATTTAAACAAATCTATCACAGCATCAGAGTAATATGTAAGGATAATATTGTAGACATGCATAGCTTGAGAAAATTATTTGTCCATCAATTCAAAAAACTTGCACAATTTCAAATCCTGATCCAATTTAAACGTTGTATTGTCTTTCACACTTCATCGGAAACTCTTATATAAAGTATTTACATATATATTATGGCTTATACTAAATGCAGTAACTACAACATTTACAAGATTTTCTTTTTTGGCAGTTATATGTAATTGAATTTTCAGCATCTGTGGACCACAGGTAAAATTCCGTTCACTGTGAAATTTTGAATCCTGTGTGATAGGCATGAAACGAACGCAAAAACTGAAAGATTTCATTCATTCATTTCATTTCATTTCATGGTTCAATGTTGAAATGCTTATAAGAGAAATATGAAGTTGAGATACTCTTACTTCATCAAAACTGACAATCATCAAATATGTACAGTTTATTATTGAGTTTGGAAATTGTTTTGATCCTTTTCATCCCACACCGGAACATAAGGCTGCAATCAGGTTCTTCCATTCCTGTCTATCCTTGGCCACCATTTCTGCACTACTCCAGGTCAGGTTTGCTTGGACAAGTTCTGTGGTAATGGTTCTTCTCCATGTGGTTTTTGGCCTCCCTCTGTTTCGTTGACCCTGTGGTGTCCAGCAAAGTGCTGTTTCGGGGATTGAGTCTTGTGGCATTCTAAGAACATGGCCCAACCATCTCAGTCTTCGGCTCTTAATTTCAATAATAATGTCCTTAGAATGTGTTTGCCTATAAAGGTCGTCATTGGAGATGATCACTGGCCAGAATATTCTGCAAATTCTCCTCAGGCAACTATTGTGGAAAGTTGATAACTTGATCATGTCGGATTTTGTTACACGCCAACATTCGGATGCATAGAGAAGGACAGATTTTACATTGCTATTGTATAGCTTGAGTTTAAGCTTCTGACTGTATTGGTTGGATTTCCAAATTGGATTTAGTTTTATGAAGGCATTCCTGGCTTTGGCTATTCTTGATTTGATGTCTTTACTTGTGCTGTCCTTTTTGCTTACATTACTGCCCAGGTAAGTGAAGTCATCAACTTCATTGATGGCCTTACCCTGAATTTTGAGTTGGGTTTGGTTTGTTGCGTTAATTTTCAATAGCTGTGTTTTTTTTCTCATTGATTGACAGTCCTGTTTGTGCTGCAAACCTAGAGAGCCTGTTGGTCTTTTCCTGCATATGGTCTAGTCTTGATGAAAGCATAGCTAAATCGCCTGCAAAAT